AAAATTACTCATACTAATCTTTCTGGGTCACAAAATAAACTTTTAACATATTTTCAGGCGAGAAAGTAGCTGTGTAAACATCAAATATCTGCTCGGTTTATCAAGATATCCCATATTTGCAAAAGTGCTTCGACGTTTTCGGAGACGTCTGCTACCCACTAGCTCGATAGCTAGCCGGGAGCTCGAGGGTTACTGATGCGGTCAAGAACGGCAAAACTCCCGGCACATCATTTTCAGATCACCGCGGACTTTCGCTGCTCGGTTTAAATGTCATATATAAGTCACTTAGACAACCTAAAAATGTTATTGTTAGGTTTTTTTTCCAGTGTTTTGTTTGTTCGTGAGTAAATCGGTTTGGCTGAGATTAAAGTTATTAGATTAGATAAAATAAAACTTTATTAATCCCCCGGGTGGGTTCCTCCTTGGTTTTTACACAGCTGACTAAATGTCAAACAGAAAACTGATTAAACAGAAGTATGAGACAGTCGAGAATTTACGCCAGTGTCCTGTTATATTTTAGATAGCAAGGAGCAGACGACTGAGTTTATTAAACTCCACCGAGACAGCGGTGACGCTAATCAGAAGGCTAGACCGTCCAATTTCACGGCCGTTTACTTCCGGCCTACCCGACCTTCTGAGGACCCGGCCCACGTAGACCGCGAAGGCCGGGTCCTCAGGAGGATGCAGCCCATGAATTTGGACACGACCTATAAATACCTTGGAGTACACATTGACAATAAACTGGACTGGGCTAAAAACACCACAGCACTTTACAGGAAGGGTCAGGGTTGTCTCTATTTTCTGAGGAGACTGAGGTCCTTCAACATCTGTTGGACAATGCTCAGGATTTTCTATGACTCTGTTGTGGCCAGTGCGATCCTCTATGCTGTTGCATGCTGGGGGAGCAGAATGAGGGTTGCTGATACTAATAGACTCAATAAAGTGATCCACAAGGCCAGTAATCTTCTGGGGATAGAGCTGGACTCCCTTAAGGCCCTGTTGGAGGGGCAGATGTTGTCCAAAATAAAAACAATGTTGGATAATTCCTCCCACCCACTTGGCTAGTCACAGGAGCACGTTCAGAGAGAGACTGAAATTACCAAAAAGCACAACACAGGAACGGCACAGGAAATCATTCTCATCGTCAACTCATCCAACTAACACACTGAATACCAGTCATGGAAATAACTGCAGGAATAACTTTTTTCAGTATCGAGTAATCTAATTACTATTTCTATCGTTACAACGCAGTTACTGTTACTAACAAGAAAATGCGGTTGCGTTACTAATTTTCAACGAACAGACGGTTGAAGCTATGTTCAGCTTACCGCATCTTATATCAGTTGTACGGAAGGAGCTGTAAGTAACCACAGCTTTAAGCTGCTGCGTGCGCTCCCGCGGATGGCAATCACGCTCACTTTTTGGCACCTGTAGCTCAGGGGGGCAAAACAATTGCATGAGTGCTGCTGTTTGACTGAGGAAGAATAAAGCATTAGCGGTAAGCCAATCACATGACCACTTAAAGACATAGCAACAAGGTGATATATACCAGTTATAGCAGTGTTTAAATTGTGTTGATAGGCCACGTAAAACCAGAGTCATGATAAACAATATATACACAGCGTTTTTTTCCTGAATAGTTTCGTCATGTTTAACATCTAAGGACTGCGCTAGCAAGACCTCTCTGCTCACGAGCAAAAAATAAAAATAAAATAAAAAAAACAAAACAAAAAACAGCCCTTTCATGTCGACCGATCAAAAAATTATATGGCAACTTGACATTTGGTTGTTTAGGAAGAGTGACGCCGAGAGAGAGAGAGAGAGTTTTGAGATGAGAGAGATTTGTGACGTTTAGCGTGTTTGGAGTGTGTAGTTAATGTGTTGTCTTGTGTAGTTAGTGTGTGGTGTTGTGGATAGTTTTGAGTTGTGTGTCAGAACAATGAGGCGACTGCCGTCTCCAGGTAGAAACAGGAGTGATACACCTGCTGCTGTCAGACCTGCAGGTATCAGGCTGTGATGTTTCCTTTACAGACAGAAATTATTTTTATTTAGTGGCACAAATAATTTGTGTGGCATCTTATTGAATGCAGAACAGCTGATTGTTCTGTAAATAGTTTAAAATGGTTATTTAAAAATTGAAGGTAAAAGGTAAATGGATGCAAATAACTTTGTTGTTTTCAAAACTTGTGCTTTTAAAATTGGCAATTTATATTTACATTTAAAGTTATGAAATATGATTCAATAAACATGTTTGTGGTTGTTACAGTAAAAAATATGCTGATTTTATGTTTTGTTGTCTGATTTTAGATCATGTTAATACAGTATGTCAAATGAAAACATAACTGTAAATTCAATTACTAGAGTAAAAAGTTTAGAAGCAAAGACTGTGACAGTTTTGACAAAAATCTGGTTCGGATTTGCTGTACAGGAGTAGCTGGTATCTTATTTATTGATAACAAAATGTGGAAACATCATTGTACTGTATCCATGTTAGTGTTTAAAGTGCAACATCTCCCTCTAGTGGTCAAATATAAACATGTGTGAGGATGGTGTGAATGTAAAATGTGAATCATAGTGTTCCAGTCAGTCATCAGTGTGTCTCTGCACAGCTGTAATTAAAATGTGTTCAGAGGGCCTCAGTGTCTGAATGGTTCCAGTTCAGCTCCATAACAGCAGCGTCCCTGGTTTGATTCCTGTGTTTCAGCTCATATCTGCCTCTCTCACTGAGGGGGACGTCCACTACATGGACATGGATTTGTTCATCAACCAAACTACAGATCACAGAGCAGAGGAGATTAGATTTCATTATTTCTCTTTTCATCGGTGTGAACCAATAAATTTCTGAGGCAGGTCACTGTGTTAAGAATTATATGTTTAAATAGTTTTTTAAATTACTTGTATCTTCTTTTATATAATTTAGTCCACACCTCACTGTGTTTGAACCAATAGAAAGCTGGTGCTCGGAGGAAGAGGGCGGGCTTTACTTGGTGTCAGTGACAGAAATGAGAAAAAGCTCAAATGAGTGAGAAGGACGATGAAGGAAACATCTGTGCTGTGTCTGCTCTGTAAGTAGAATCTCTGTGTTTGTTTGAATTCTTGTACTTTGACTGTCTGCTCTCCTGATAACTGATGATGGAGGAGAAGACATGAAAAACAAATCAGGCTGAATTCAAGTTCAAAACACCACGAGGACCAACTGCAGGTCTGAACTGACTCTTTATCTTTGCTCAGGAGTCGATGAAACACAGCAGGCAGTGAAAAGATCAAATCATTCACTCATTATATCAACACAGCTTGAAAGTCAACACAAGACTTTACTGTGTTATTTAAATATAGTGGATAATTTATATGTACTCAGAGTCTGTGCTCATGATCACTGTGATCACATTAAATGCTGCTTCTTAAATAAAAAGTAAAAGAGTTCAAAGTGTCTGATACATTTACATCAGTAACAAACATAGAAGAAAAGTCTTTTTTTTTTGCCTGTCCCGTTTGGCTCTTTTGCCATCAGAATTATTGTCTAAAGGCGAAGAAAGATGCCCAACGGATTTACTTTACCAAATGGACCACCCTTGCCTTGCCACATTGGTCTATTTGATTCCCCTTTTATTGTTTATTTTATTGTTTATTTTATTCCAAGAACAGAAAGCAATATAATAAACAACATCATCATGATGATCTATGGGAATATAACAGTAAATACTAAATATTAAACATTATTGTGCAGCACATAAGATCAACAGAACACAGTGTGCTTTGAGGTAGGAGCCAAAAAAGGGTGTAGTTTGTGGGTGTGAGTACCCGTGTGTACACCTGTGAGCATGGACGCGCTTGTTTTTAAAAGGTTCCTCCATGTAATGATCTGCTAGAGGGTGTGGGGGGGCCACAGCCCCATAGAAGAAAAGTCTTCTGGAAAAGAGTTGATGTTGTGTAAAATAATGATAAAAAGAAAACGGCAAGATTTATTTATCATATGTAACTGTGCAGGTGTTACAGAGGTGCAGTGTTAGTGTATGTAAGTTTCCTCCACAGTACAAGGACGTGTTGTTAACTGGTGATTCTAAACTGGCCAGATGGTCACAATTTTAGGACCTGTGCCAGAAGCAGCTTCTGACAGCTAGGGTAAGCTCCCACTCTCTCTCTGCCTCAAATCAGGTAGAATGGATAAAGAGATCTTCAACCAAATATTTTTAAACATGTTGCTGGCTTTAAATTGAAAATGAGCAGATATTTCAGAGTGTGTGGAGTTGTTCTTTATGTTCACCTCAAATCAACCTGAGTGTCATTTCTCTTTAGTTCTGATCTCACTGCTGAGCTGCACAACAAACCAAGGTCAGTAACCTTCTTCTGTCACAGTTTAAACCTGATAAACTCTGACAGGTTTTAAACTTTTGATTTAACGTTTTCAGTAAAGATCAAAGACGTGATCATCAGTTTTTCATTTTAACCCTCACAGCTCGTCTGACTGTGAGTCCCAGCAGCTCTCAGTTCTTTGAAACAGACTTTGTGTCTCTGAGCTGTGAGGAGGACGACAGCTCTGCTGGATGGACTCTGAGGAGAAACACAAGCAAACAACAGAGGACTCAGTGTGGAGATGTGTGGGGAGAAGGAGCTGGTTCTTCCTGTAACATCACTGTTTTCCCATTGGACAGTGGAGTTTACTGGTGTGAGTCCAGTGAAGGTCCCATCAGTAACATGGTTAACCTGACAGTCACTGGTAAGCTGAGTGTGTGGAGTTAGTGTTGATGAAGCTGTGTGTAAATGGATGAAATGCTGTAGTTTGTCTCTGTGTTGAGGTGGATCAGTGATCCTGCAGAGTCCTGTCCTCCCTGTGATGGAGGGAGATGACGTCACTCTGCTCTGTGAAACAAAGACCACTCCCTCCAACCTCCCAGCTGCTTTCTATAAAGATGGCTCCCTCATCAGGAAGCAGCCTACAGGTCACATGACCATCCAGCATGTTTCCAGGTCTGATGAAGGCCTCTACAAGTGTGACATCAGCGGTCATGGAGAGTCTCCATCCAGCTGGATCACTGTCACAGGTGACACACTCACCTGTCTGTGTTTCTGCAGGTTTCAACATTCACAATGTGACGACAACTTAATGACTGTGTTTGCTTTATTTTAGACAAACACACCACCACACCTCCACCTACATCCACTTCTCCTCCTTCCTCCATCGCTAGCCCTGGTTCCCCTCTCATACCTGTGTTGTCATCTGTTGGATCAGTCTGTTTTCTGATCCTACTGGTGTTACTGGTTTTGTTGATTAGACAACATGTTCACAGGAAACCTAAAGGTGAGACTCAGATCTAATGAGTTTGAGTTGTTCAATAATCTAGTTATCTATTGTGATTACTCCTTGTTGTTACACATTATAAAACTAAAATACCCTTTTTTCAGTGCTTTTAAATGAAAGATTATTTTATATTGTTTTTCTCTCTTATCTGACTTTTTATTTATTTAAACAGATCAAGCTGTGAAAGAAGAGATCACATACAGTGACATTAGAATAAAACACCGTCAACAACAACCACCAATAAAACAAAACAAAGGTAATACTTTCATCAGTGCTGGTGGTTGGTGGTTGCAATATTTTTGTATGCAATACAACTTTGTTTTTCTGAAATTTGAATACTGTAGAGACATATTGACATTTTCATATTGTATTTGTAAATATATAAGGACATCATGGGCGACCGTGGCTCAGGGGGTTGGGAAGCGTATGTGTAACCGGATGGTCGCCGGTTCGATCCCTGGGCTCTCTGTCCTGGTCGTTGTGTCCTTGGGCAAGACACTTCACCTCCCGCCTACTGGTGTTGGCCAGATATGCGATATGGCAGCCTCGCTTCTGTCAGTCTGCCCCAGGGCAGCTGTGGCTACAACTGTAGCTGCCTCCACCAGTGTGTGAATGTGAGAGTGAATGAATAGTGGCATTGCGAAGCGCTTTGGATGCCTTGAAAAGCGCTATATAAATCCACTCCATTATTATCGAAAGAAAGAATTAAAAAACCTCAAAAGCTAAGCATATTAGCCAATTGTGTTGTTGCATTGATCCATGGTGACACCTTTCAGACCCGTACTATCCGTGTAAACATATTTGTCATCTTATTTATTAAACTGGGATTTCGGGTATTCATAACTAGCATGGTGTTTATTTAATCACAGATAGAAAGATGCTTTGTGATGTCCATAGTAGAAAAGTGTAGAAAAATTAGATGAGAGGATGGTGTGCTACGTTATCAGCTAATACTGCCTGTCTTTGGTTAACAAACCACATCCACAGACACAAATTGTAGATTGTGCAAAGTAATGTAATATAGTAAAAGTTTGAAATGTGACTCTATGCATACAGTTTGTCGAGTTAGAAATAACGTCACACTTCTCTCCTCATCTTTAGACAGGAGCTTGATCAACTGATGTATCTGCTGAATGGTCAGATTTGCTTCTAGGTGGATTTTGATGAAACTTTACAGGGCAGATCATTTTTTATAATATAATAATATTTCAGTTTTTGGAAGAAGATATTAATTTTATCCCATTAGCCACACAAATTTTTCATTATTTCCAACTTATTTACTTCAGAATTTAAACCAATGGAAGGTTTTAATCTTGATTTGTGTGTTTTTCACTCTGATTAACTAAATCTATAACTTAAAGAGAGGGACTTTATTTCAAACAGTCACACAGCGGTGTGCAGGTTGACAGATGACCTTTTTACCCCTGTAATGCCACTGTGACACATTCAGCTACGTTTCACCATGTACGTTAATTAACTACGTTAATTAAGCTCATCTTTGGACAGTTTCAAACTTCTCTGTTGTATTGTGACAAATATGTAACTTCGCTAAATACATTATCAAGTTTATGAGGATAGTTTGTGTGCTTCTCTCATAGTTTAGTCTAAGGTAACTGGACTGCAATCTTTATGTTGCTTTTTAACTTTACCTAACAGTCGAAGCATCTTTTTCAAAGCAGGCTGCAGTCATACACACATTTCAACACTCGGACACACATTTCCTAAAAGGAAAACAAACCATCAACTCTCTGAATAATAGACACCCCACTCTAAATCCTAAGCCAGTAAATCAACAGTACTTTGGGATCCAAGGTGAGAGCTGGATAAATGCTGCGATGCATCAGGGATCCTTGCAGGAGAAAACAAGAAACAAGAACTATTAGTTGTACCCCACACCCTTCTTACAGGGTGTTAAAAAAACTGTGGGTTTTTTTCTTCTTGAGTAATTTCAGACTTCTAAATTTAACATAGAAGAACCAACACGTGTCATTCTGTTGAATTCAACTGAGAATCTAAAGCGTCTCATTAGCACACAGAAGGGTAGCTTTCTTTTACCAGGCATGATTTGACACTAAGCTTATCAGAAAGGCAAGAGCAGTTTCAACTTATCTGTTGACATTACTCAACATCCTGAAATATTTACTGTGCTTTGTTGAAAAACTAAGAGATAATAAAGAGATTATCTACAAAGTCTACAAAGTCTGATACTTCTATCCACCTGTGAAAAATGTAAAGCATTTAAGACTTTACATTTAAGTTTGTATGTTAAAGTTTTTGCAGTTGATGCTTTTTTATTTATTTTCTTTATCCAAAATCTAATAACTTGATTGTCTTTATCAAATGTGAGTCTTAGTCTTTAAAGTTTGCAGTTTTGTGTTGATTGTTGTTCTTCGCGTGCTGGACTGTGCGTTTGTGGTAGGTGGTTAACAGACACTAACAGTGCTGCAGTCGTCCAACATCCTGTTTCTCATCATCAAGAAAAAGTTTTAACACAGGCGTGAAGACAAAGAAGAAAGAACTAAACTAACTTCAGTGTTTGCTTGCATCAGCATTTTAACTGACTTCACATTTATGTGACATCAATATTTGAAATTACATTTACTTTGGTTTTGTCCTTTATGTATGTGTGACTGTGCAGAAGGTGATCCAGCTGTAATCTACTCAGGAGTGAGAAATGACGACATCAATTATGAACAAATCGTCATCACAGACAAGAAAGAAAAATCAAAGGCGAGAGGTACAGCAGCTCTTCTTTCTTTTCTTTTTTTTTTTGTCCCATTTGGTTCTTTAGCCATCAGAATTGTTGTCTGAAGACCAACAAGGATACCCAATGGATTTACTTTGCCAAATGAATCATCGTGGCATTGCCGTATTGGTCCATTTGATCGACCTTTGTTTTTATTATTTATTATATTTTATTTTCAGATGTTACAGACGGGACAGACATGAGTGAGGGATAGGAAAGGGAGAGAGAAAGAGGAAGGAAAGGAAAAGTAGAAGGGGAGAGGGACAGTGTTGAGAGGAGAAGAATAGAAAACAAGCAAAAAAAAACCCCCAAAGCAACATACTAAACACAACACCATCGCATTAATCTAGCTAAGTGTAAACAGCAGTAAATACTAAATATTCAATGTTGTTGTGCAGCACGCAGGACGGACAGCGCACAATGTGTGCTTTGAAGTAGCAGCCAAGAAAGGTGTAATTTAAGTCTACGAGCAGTGAACACCCGTGTGCACACCTGTGTGGATCAGCGCGTTTGTATTCAAATGGTTTCCACATGTAATGGTCTGCTAGAGGATGTAGCGAGCCATAGCCCCGTCCCCCAGGGCATGAAGCAGGCATGGAGGAGATCCAGGCCCCAGATATCCAGAGGCCCCAGAGTGCGAGAGCCCAAGGAGGACCACCGGAGGGGCATCCGTGCCACCCTCATGGGAAGGGCTGAGGATCCCCAGACGAGGCATCACCCAGCAGCCACCGAGCAGAAGCTAGAGGGGGCTGCACCGGCGTGCCCGCAGGCTCTGCCGGCAACAAGCTGTGCCAGAGTGAACCGAGCTGCACCCCGGAGGAGGCCTGACCGAGCAACAGGCGCCAGGCCCCGCCAGGTAGACACCGGGAGTGAGCCGGTACATACCTGAGTGCCCAGCCCCGGACACCAAGAACCACCAATGCACCGACCCCTGAGAGCATCAGTCACCGGCAGGGAGTGTGGTGAGGGGAGATAGGCCTTGGAGGGCCTGGGTGTTCCCAGAGAGGTGGAGTCTAAGACCCGAACTGACATATAGACACAGACAAACAGGCACACACAGACACAAACATGCATTCCCACCCTCATGCACACATATACAAACACTCAGCACTCACCCAATGTAAGGACTGACATAAATGGACATGTACACACAATCACACTCCCCAAACATACTCTACACCCTGGGTCCAGGTACCCTCACCCCCAGAGGGGGAAACAGAACCCAGACCCAAGAGATGTTACCCTTCCCCCCCGGAGTGGAGGCAAGCAGACCGTCCCAGGCTCTGCAGCAGCAGGGAGGCCAATCGGACAGCCAACATCTCCTCTAACAACATCCTCAGCCAACAACAGCTCTTCACTTCTACAGCCAGACTGAGGCTGTGGTTTAGCAGGGTTAGGCTTCACCATGTTAGTCATGCTAGCATCTTCTAATTAGCATAAGGCTGATGAAAATACAATGGATGGATGGTTAACGTTTATTACAGTTTATCAGCTGCACACACAAAATCACACAACACACAAAATCACACACATGACAGGTCACCCACATTCTGTAAAATACAATCAATAGGATAACTGCATTATGCACAAAATTATAATTAATTCAAACAAGATCATATTTTCATGCAAAATGATTTGTTCTCATAAGATCATCCATCCATCATTTCTTACTACTTATGTAGGTGCAGATCACCGAGGCAAGAGCTTAAACAGAGAAGCTCATAGCTCTGCTCTGAAGCTCTTCTGGGGAAACGTCACTGTGTTCCCAATCAGCTGAAAGACATTTTCTGTCTGAGAGACTGTAAAACCAGCATTTAATGGTACAGTCCCTCAGCAATGGAGGTTGAGAAAATGGTCCAGTCAAACTCATGGGTGGCTGTACTTGGACTCAAAATGTACAACCCAGGAAATTCTGTTTAACAAGTTTATTTACAAAACTTAAACAACAACCTCCTGAGACTGGGACCAAACAGGTTGGTGAGACTGATTCAGAGCATAGTGTGAATAATGCAGTTGTGCTCAGTGTTTACTTGGTATTTCTCCACAGAGTGGTGGAGGGTAGGTGAGTTAAGCAGGTGAATCTCAGTCCTCTTTCCAATCTAAATTCCAAGGTGAATCACGCAGAAGGTGATAATTTAATTTTTTAAAATCAGACACTAGTACAATGAAAAAAATAAAAAACAAACAAACAAACAAAGGACCTACTCCCAGAAGTTGTCTAGTAGCGTTTTGTGGGAGAAACGTTTCGTCACTCATCCAAGTGACTTCTTCAGTCTCAGCTAGACTTGTAGTCAAGACCGCCTAATCCGAGACCAAGACAAGACCAAGACCAAGTTGAGACGAGACCAAGACCAAGATATATATATATATATATCTATCTACTTAGCACTTTTAATTCTTATTCTTATTTTTATTTTCATGTCTATTAAAGCATAATTTATGACAGTATGTTTGCACTGAAGCACCGCAGCAATTTCCTGATGTTGTAAACCTGCTCAACATTTGGCAATAAAACCCTTTCTGATTCTGGAGGGTTTTCTCCAAGCATGACATCCCGGTGCATTTCAGACCCAGCAACACGCTCAGACAAAAACTGGTTCACCCGAAAGACAAAACGCCAAAACACAGACTTAACATTGTGGTGTATGCTGTACAGTGCAGCGAGGAATGCCCAGACCTCTACATTGGAGAGACCAAACAGCCACTTCACAAGTGCATGGCACAACATAGAAGAGCCACCTCCACAGGACAAGACTCAGCAGTCCATCTGCATCTTAAGGATAAAGGTCACTCTTTCGAGGATGCCAATGTTCACATTTTGGACAGAGAGGACAGATGGTTTGAAAGAGGAGTGAAAGAAGCCATCTATGTCCACTGTGAGAGACCATCGTTGAACAGAGGCGGGGGTTTACGACACCAACTCTCTGCCATCTATAATCCAGTTTTGAGATCCCTTCCCAGACGCCTTAACGCCCACTCACATCCTGGGCCATCTGACCTCAGGAATTCGCATGATAAGGTGGGGCCAGGTTTCACAATGAACTCACCCGAAACTCTGGCTGATTGGGGCCCACACCCAGTTTCACACCTTGTCTCAGGCGATTAGAGGATCATCAAGGGGTCCTTTTGTCCCTCTGTGTTCACTCCCACTAGGTTTATATCTGGGACTCTCCACCATTTGACCTTAGAACTGAAGAAGCTTCTCGGATGAGAGGTGAAACGTCTTCAAGTAACTTAAAGAAGTCCAGACGCTTTTCTTTGCAAGATCCTTTGACAAGTTTTGGTAAACAACCAACCATTTGACTAACATGTGTGTCTCACCTGCTCTTGTTCATCTCTGTTCTGTCGTCATTCTCCATCTCCCTCTCTGCTCCTCTCTCTCCCTCTCTGCTCCTCTCTCTCCCTCTTTGTGCTGACAATCAAGCCAAACACCAACATCATCAAATATACAGTTGAAACCAGATATTTACAAACTCTTCAGATCAAAACACAAACGCTTTTTAATTGTAACATCAAATCAGACTAAATGTTTATTTTTTAGATTGATAAATATAAAAACATATTTGTTAACTTTAAGAGTAAAGAGAGAAACTATCTGTATTTCTTAATTGCAAATGGCACCAAATTGTATTCAAAATTGAGCCACACTTATGGAGCTCCACAATTCTTTTCCTGGTGTTTTGGTTGACATCTCTTGATTTTCCCATGTCAAAGAAACAGGCTCTGTGTTTTGCCTTATATGCATCCACAGCTGTGCCACCAATTTACTCACATGGACTCTGCTAACCTATCAGAAGCTTCTTCAGCTCAGAATGGAATCGTCTGGAGTTTCTTATTAATTAACAAACTTAGTGTATATGTGCTCCTAAATATTATTCTGACATTTAACTAATTCAAAAGATATTTCAACATTTAATTATCTAAAACAAAAGTTTACTCTAAATTGATGTTTAACTGTAAAAAAAAGTTTTTATGTTTTCTCCATAAAGTGTATGTAAATATCTGGTTTCAACTGTGAATATACTGCTGTGTATTGAAAGTCCTCTTGTTTTGCATAGATATACTGAACAACATACAAAGCATAATATATAAAATTACATCTACCTGAGTTTTTTCTTTGAAAGAAGCTCCTTATGTCCATTGTTGTGTTCATCAGTACACAACTGAAACCGATTTAGAGAGTTTGTTTAGCCGTGGAGGGTAACAACTGAAAATATGAAATGTAAGCTAAGACTCTCTAAAAAAACAGCATTGCTGTTCGGCTTTTTATTTATCCATTTGTTGATTCACTCGAAGAGCAAGTAACGCAACCAAGTGATCAGTTTAATATCAATCTTTTGTGATACACCGTCATATTTACATTATTAGTTCAGTACGAATGATTTGCTTTGGTACCTGGTCAAACTTAAGCTCTCCTCTGTCTGCAGCAAACTCGCAGGCAGCAGCTTCTCCCCCCTCGCTCACATGGGTGCTGTGCTCAGTCGCCCAGTGCCTGAGCTCGGATCATACCACAATTAGGGGGAATTTACGACGGTGCGCTCTGTGCTTCGTGTGTTTTTGTTTTATACAGTTGTCAGTCAGGCATCTAACTAACAAATTACACTCCGAAAGACCCCATGCTTCTGAAAAAATGACCCGGGCTTAAGCCCAGTAAGCCACCCCTCCGCTCCGCTGATGGTTGACTCCAAATCTCCCGAACACTATGTCGATTTGAGAACGCAAGACCGAAACAGCGAGACTGAGACCAAGACAAAAGTCCGTCGAGACTAAGACGAGACCAAGACCACGTAAAAGTGGTCTCAAGACCGGACTCGAGACCAAGACCGGTCTCGATACATCCAACTCTAGTCTCAGCTGACTGCAGGTTTCCCCGATCTTATAAACAGTACATTTGCATAATGACTGAAACCAGCCCACTGAAGGAACAATGGGCTGGGAGGTCAGTTCCTTAATCTTAATTAATCAATTAACCACTGATCAATGGTCATGAGTACCATTCACAGAGAGTTGGGGAATGGCTGCAATCACAGCATTGCAAGATGGTGACAGATGTACCCTTAGGCCTCTTCCTCCATTCAGAGATGGTCTTTCCCTTTTCATGTAAATGGCCTCCTTGATTCCAAAAACCAGCGTTCCTCCCTGTCCAGGATGTTACATCCTCATCCTTGAAAGAGTGTCCACTGGCCTGTAGGTGTAAATAGACTGCAGAGTCTCGGCCTGACGAGGTTGCTCTTCTGTGTTGTGCCATTCACTTCGCCAGAGGTTGTTTGGTTTCCCCGATGTATAAATCCTGGCAATCCTCCTGCACTTAACAGCGTACACTATGTTACTCTGTTTGTGTCGGGGACCCGATCCTTGGGGTGGATCAATTTTTGGCGCAGCATGTTTTGGGGTTTAAAACCCACAGAGATGCGGTGTTTAGAAAAAATGTGTCTCAGCTCATCCACTCCTGACACATACGGGATCACTAAGGATTCAACTGACAACTGCTACTTAGGCAAGGCAAGTTTATTTGTATAGCACAATTCAACAACAAGGTGATTCAAAGTGCTTTACTTAAGGGACCAGTTGTCTTTGCAGCCCGATTCAGAGAGGGAGTGGTAGGAGTGTTGCATTGAATGTCTACACTAATTTCTGTTGGAATTAATAAAGGCTTGCAAAAAGTGTTTTTCTCTGTTTCTAGCAGACCATGGGTAGGTTCACTTGCTACTAGGCTGCTTGTGGCCTGTTGGCTGCTGTAGATGTTGTGGTGCTGTCTTGGCTGACACACCTCTGCAACATAGCCCGGAGCTCTGGATTAGTGCCTCTGGATTGTCAGCCTAGAGTGGTGGTTCCCCTTTTTAAGAGAGCAGTCCATATAGGCTCACACATTCCTCAGCCTATCTTGGGAGGTCTACACCTGAGTACTGAAGAGGAGTCTTTTAGTTAAACCTTGGATTCAAGACGAACAGTGTGTTTTTTTCCCTGGTTGCTAAACACCGGACCAGCTCTCTGTCCCCTTGAGAATATCCCAGGGAGCTTCTGTTTAGAGTTTTGTCCCAGTGAGCAACACTTAATAAATGGCAGACTTGTGCTTGTGTTTCAGGAAGACATCTAAAAAGACACTGACTGAACAGACCAATCAGTCAGTTCCCAATTTCTATTTTTATTTTAAATTCTGTGTGGAAACCACAGAAGTTACTTCCTCTTGCTGATTCCAGATAACGGTAGCCTGATTCTGATGACTCTAACCACTTGTCTTCTGCTTTGGGCAGTAACAGTGTTCATGTTGTGAGAACGAGTTTGCATGTTGCTCTGTGGTAAAATGTATCAGGCTGTCTGATAGAAGACAGCAGCTTTGTGGTCGTCTGTCTTCCTTTTTTTACAAACATCCCCCCAAAGTTCTTTGTGGTTACTGTGTTTCACAGCAGAGCTGCTAAGAAGCTGTTAGAAAAAAACACAGTGAGAATCTGCTGCTCTTTATAAAATCGATCACTTAATCTCTTCATAATCAAAATAAAAACTGTTTGCCATAGCTGCAGTGCAGTAAAAATGACATAACTGTAGTTTTAACTTCAGTGTTTTACTCTGCAGAGTGCAATCCAGCTACAATCTACTCAGAATTGAGAGCAGGCGACGTCTGCCATGGACCGAAAACCACCAGATCAAAGAGGCCCAAAGGTACAGCTGCACTTTAACTTTGTACAGAGCCGAGCAAACCACGTGTTCACTGAAGCTCAGTAAGTCTAATCTCTGTCAGAAAGGAAACTGTAAGTTTGTTTGAACTGTGTGTTTGTGTTCACACTTTAAACCAGAGCCAGACACCATCTACTCTTTACTGAAGTAGTCCACCAGTCCAACCACTGACGTCCAGCTGCTGGCCTCTAACTGGTCCTCCCAGCACCTCAGACCAGAGGACATCTATAGATTTTCACTGAGATAATTCAAAAATAACATCCTATTTTAACTTGCTTTAAATGTTTTTTTTTATTGCAAATGAGAATATAAATATGTTAATATGATTCATAACTCTATTATTAATATCTTTATTCATGTTTGTTGGTTCCTGCAGTGGGAAATTATTTTCAGCATTAATAAACTTCTCTTCTAGTGTGTTTTAGTGTTTTTCTCACGTGGTCGTGGGCTTCAGAAATATGTGAAATGGAAAATGTGACTTGTTTGGTTGTGGCTAATCGATGCACACCTCCTTACATGCAGAGAAGCTGAACAACCACACGCTAAAAACTGCACAGTGGCTGAAAACTGCACAGAAACACTTCACCACGTGTTTTGCACGTTTGAGGCCGAAGAATTTATTTATTTAGTTTTATTTTTTATTTTACTGGGAACCAAGCAGCAGCAAGTTACATGGCAAAAGTATTCATGTTTAATTATGTTTGAAAATTTAATAAAAAAATATGCTAAAATTTTCTGGTTGCAGCTTCTCAGCAGAGAGACGTTTTTATATCTGATAAAGTAACTCAGACTAACTTCCTGAACCAGCACAGGGCCCTTCCTGTTTAACCTCTCACAGAAGCTTAAAATGACCACAAGTCACTATCAAAATCTTTTTCCCTCCACTGGTTGATCTGCTTCATTAATGACATCAGTTTAAAGCCACGAGCGAGACAGGACTACTGCTTTAACTGTTTTCAAAGTGGGAGATACGGCAAAAAGTTTGTGTTCTAACTGCAGAACAAAGCAAAGACTGAGCAGGTTTGGTTTGTTTAAGGCGGCTAACAGTGAGAGGCCTGCAATAACAACAGGAAATGAAAGAGACGAGCACTACAAACACCTGAATAAGAAGACGGCTTTTAACCAGCGACTTTGACTGAACGTCAAACAGACGTTTGACTGAGAGTTACAGTCGTTAAGCTCACTGTTTGTTACAGGAGACATTTCTCCTCACAAACAGCAGCAGCAAAGTAGAAGTACAAAAGTAGAAATAAAGGATGTCAATATTTAAATTTTTAACAGGGATGTTGATGAGTGAATGAATTTAAATTAGAAAAAAGAAGAAATTTCACATTTTCTAAATTTAATTATTGCTAATCATGAAGTTCTGCTGCTTCCTGTTAAAAGCTAGTTCTTCTTTCCCACAGTCACCAACCACTGCTCACAAAGCATTTCATGATTGGTGAGCTTTTCCCTTAATGTTTATGGACTTTAAAATTTAAGGAACCTGTGAACTTGTGTAGAGAAAAAAAAAATACAGTTATTATTAATTCTTCTTCTTTTGGTAAAAACTGGAAAATGCAAGAAAATATTTCACAGATGATTTCTCAATAGTTACAGATGGTGTTAGCGCACAGCTCACTTCCTCTTTGTCATGTCCCTCACTGTGGGCTCACTTTTCAGCCTAAATTACAAAGGCTTCAATGACAGGGCTGTGCATTTAGTGAAACAACATGTAGTGCATAATTACAAGAAGAGCAAAACAACACAATTTATTTTAACTCATATCTGACAGGAGTTGGAACAAGACACGAGTGACATTTTAGACATTTGCTCAACATCTATTTTATATTTTAAATATTTTGAAACCATTTAGTCAGACAGCTGCATTCATTAAAAATGTGATTTAAACAAAATATATGTTTTAATATTTTGTGAGTGCATTCGTTTCAGTGTTATATGTGCTGCAGTTGTGGAGTTGAACAGTTCTTTACAACATTCTTGTGTTTAACAGATTTCGGTCCACTAAAATAAAACAGCAGTAAACTTGGATCCTTAGAGGTTTTTCTGTTTGTGCAGGTTTGGATGCACACTTGCTCACCACCTCTCTTCTCTCTTTGTCACGGTCGCTGACCCAGTGTTTTTGGTTTTTGCACTTTTACTTTTGATTTGATTGTGAATTACGACAGTGTTTATTCTGTGGTCCCTCTGTTCTGTGTCGTCCCTGCCTGTGTATAGTCTAGTGTAGTCAGGTCTCTGTGTAAAGCCGCATCTCTGAGTCTGTCTTCTGTGTTTTGAGCTTCCTGTTTTGTTGTGATGTCCCGTCGTGTCTGGTTACTCCCAGCTGTGCTCTCCCTCTGTGTATTTAAGCCTTGTGTCTGCCTTTGTTGCTGGTTTGTCTGCATTATTGCCCTCCGTCATCCTGTGTGGTTGCGCTGCATCTGGTTTCAGGTTAGCTTTATTCTTAGTTTTCCCAATTTAGGTTTTGTCAGTCTCGCACCCTCGCCTTTTGTTGTATGTCATCCTCCTCAATAAAGCTCACTCTCATCAGAAGCCGTGCTTGCATTTTGGGTCCTTAAATAACTTACACCATGCTGGCCGTGACACTCTTATTCACTCTTACAGACTGACTGCAGCATTATTTACTTACAAAACTTATTCTCCGAGCAATAAACTCCTGCAAAGCTTGTGTTGTGAAATCACTGGATGATTGAGCATGCATCAAGACAAGACGCAGTAAAAAACGAAAAAACAGAACTCGTGAAGTTAAAATGGGTGGCAAGAAACAGTAACTTTCCTGTCACTGTCTAACCTCAGAAAGATTATCACCAGCGAAGCTCCAGCACAGTGTCACTGCATCGATTACACACTAACTTTACACTTAACTCTTTAAAGCCTGAACCATGAAATACTTGCCAAAATTTCTAATCCCTCCCTCCTCAAAAGAAATGAAACTTCTGACAAATTGAAATAAACAAATAAATTAATAAATATGAATTTAAAAACGAGCTTTAATTTGTATCATATTTTGTAACATCCGGCTTTATTATTTTATTTCGTTATTTCAGGGGCAAAAAGTCGCATTGACGATGTATTAGTGTCAAACAGTCATGAATCAGATGCGACTCTTTGAGAGTCTTTGCTCTCTGTTCATAACTCACCAACACTTGAACCACTTTCTGAACCAGCGAGCGACATGACCAGTGACGTCACTAACCCTTAAATCGAGCTTCTCTACAGCCTTCCTGGACTCCTCGACACGCGCTCGGCGGAGTACGCCCCGCCCCCTCGGGTGGTTAATGTTGTAGAAACGTCACATTATCATTAAAGTATTATTAAGCACGCGATCCAAACGCGAGTGATTTCTGCGAATGAGTCCACTTCCTGTGGTGTGAAACTCTGCTTTCATACTAGAATGAACAGCCTCGCCTCTGTCAGCGCGCCCAGCGTGGCTGTGGCTACAATGTAGCTGCCATCACCAGTGTGTGAATGACGTATTTGTTCTGGCGTGGAAGGGATTTGTATTTTTTAAACGGTTCCACCAACTAAAGGAATGGAGTGAAACAGAGACTGTGATCGTGAACTCTGTGTTTTAAAGGAGCAGCTGGGCCGTGGCTGTGGGTGCAGCAGGAAAATTAACAGCCTTTACAAGCCAGAGCCCACAGACGGGAAACAAAGAGACACAGACTCATACTTTCAAATGAAGACAATCATTTCTTTAAATGAAGATTTTGGGCTGTTTTAAAACAATCAAAGTAGTTTTAATGTTCACCGTGTTTCAGCCTGAATTAGTTTTATTAGTATTTCAGACTTCAGGATTATCATGAATGGATTTTACTTCAGTCACAGAGTCTGAATAAATGAGCAGATATCCTGGATCATCTCTGCAGCAGGAACAGGAAGCAGGAGAGATGATTTCATTTCTGTGTGTAGCTCATTTATTTAAATCTGCAGCCTTCTGTTGTTCATTATGTTCATCCATTAGTAAATAAAACTGCATTTCTAAAATAAAATGTTTTAAAACTGTTTTATTATTTTGTCTGGTCTTTTTGTTCAGCAGCATTCATGTTTTAGCACAAATCATATAAAAAGCAGAAATACTATATGTGGTGTCAGCAGGCTGAGCAGGTCTTCTTTGTGTGTTCTGTGTATCGAGCAGAGCAGAATGAAGGATGATGGCATTGTATTCATTTCCTACATCACCGAATAAACAAACAAACATTCCTGTTACAAAGAGTTTGTGTTTCATTATGTGTTTTTTAAAGTTCGGCTCAGAGAATCGAAACAACACTGAAAACATGCTGTGAATAAAATAGTCAATGAAAACGCTTTTTAAACAGAATCACTGAACAGAAGCTGCTCCTGATAGTTTCAGCTTTCATTTCTAAGATGTCTCTAAGAATCGATTCATTACTGATGCTCAGCAGAGAAACAAAAAGTTAAGCAGCTCGGCAGTGACATCACTGGAATGTGGCGTTAAACACCTCGAAACGATAAGTTGGCGTGACTCTATCAGTTTTCCTCTGTTTATACCTGCACCGTAAAGGATCCACATGTTACTTCCTGGTATATTTTGGACGTACCGAGTTTAACTACAATGACTCTGTTAACATCAGCTGGTCTCTGCTTAACTCTGCTGTTTGTCTGTGTGGTGGATTTGGCCTCTTCAGGTGAGCTCTCCTTCAGGTACTACTTTCTGTTTGAACTTCATGAACGTTGCTCTCGTTTACTGTAAAACTGTCAAATGCCTTCAAGTCAGTCTATTATTATTATCATTATTATCATTATTATGTCCTTGAAGTGAACAAAAAGGGTTAAACTGAAAGATACTGTTTTATTCTCAGAAGGATAGATTTTAAAAAAACATCAGCTTTTCTGCAGGTCATGTAAGAGTCTCAGGACTCTTGTGCTACGAGGCAGGGGTGCAGTCTGGTAAACAAAAAGCCCCTCTCCCCTCTTTTTACCCGGACCGCCATGAGTGATGTCATTAATAATGGTGTTTACTCCGCTTAAATGAAACTCTTGTTCTCCTGTTTGTTTGGTTGGTTTGTGCAGGTGTGAACACAGCATTCACACTCAGGTGTGACCACAACAACCGATGTGTGAAAAAAACAAAACAAATCAGTTTACAATCTCTAACCAGCTGACTTGCTGACTGCAGGTGTGAAAACGCCATTAGACTCCACCCACCATGTCCCACCTTATCCTGATGAAGCTTCAGAGAACCTGGGACCTGAGGTTTGTTCATGCAGCTCAGATAGAGCAGCAGAAACAGTATAAAGGTCGTGATTTTAAAGAGAAAGAAACGTACAGCTAGGAAATGACATCATCTTAGAAACTGCAGCATGGCAACAAACAGGAGAACCATGATGTTCAGTCACCTTCATATATTCTGATCTTCATTTAGAGAGAATCTGTGTGCAGAAACAACCAT